GCCGGGGTCGGGGATGCCGACCCCCGACCCCCGGGCCCGGGGGTCGACAACCCTGGTGAGCAGCCTGTGAAGCGTGAGGCTATCTCAGGGATAGAATCTCTGTCTGGAGCTGCGCCACAGTGGTCTGTAGGGTAGCCGCATGTTGGGTGCGAGGGGTCGAAGGTGGAGGGGGCGGAGAGAGTACCCTAGCGGGAGGAGGAAGAACTTCGAGTTGTAGTGCCGCGACCGGTGTAGGAAGCTGGGAAGCAGCACCGGGGTGAGTAGATGAAACTGCCTGGCCAGATACCAGTATCTGGGCGACAGCACGTGCGGCAGTGGCCGAAGCGGTAGGGGCGGCAAGAGCAGTGGGGGCCAATGGATGTGCCACAACAGACGGTATGGTATGAGCGGCATCAACATTCACCACGGCGGAGGGGGAGTGTTGGGCCTGGCCCGTGGAGGAGGACGAACCACCACGTCTCTGTCCCTACAGTCGTGGAGATTCGGACTCAGAGCCGGTAGGGGATGGGGTCTGAGAGCGGTGGGGAGAGCGATGAGGAGGACCCTTGAGGCGGTGAACTTCAAGGGCGAGCGCATTGACTTGCAACATGCTGACCCTGGACCGTCGGGTGGGTGAACGCCTGAAAGGTGGACGGCGCCACGACAATCTCCTCAGTTGTACCCCTGTTCGTGGGCGGCGGAGGAAAAGAGGTAGACATGGTGGGAGGTGGGGGAAAAGATAGGTTGTGGTATGGGGACAGGGGACCACCGGTGAGAGGGAGGGGACCGGAAGAGCGGAGTGGGTAGTCGTGGGTCGGTTCGCCCCGTGACCAGCGGGTCGCGTGTAAGATAGTGGCGCGAATCCGGTTGAGGGGAAAGAAGCCGTTCGGGTCCAGGGTGTCCAACAGGAGGAGGTGGGATAGTAAGGGGGAGTAAGAGAACCCTTAACCCTAAAAAAACCCTAAGAAAACCATAAACGGGGTTTGGGTGGTTAAGGGAGGGTAGTTGCGACCTAGTCAAGAAAATAAAATAATAACCATGGAGGGGAGAGGGAGTGAAAATAAAATAAACAATGAAGTTTCGAGATAAAAATAAAAAAAATAATAATAATAATAAACAAAGAAAGAAATAAACAAAATATGAAAGAAGAAGTGATATTTATTTTTTTGGAATTTTCGGCAGCATTTACCTACCCCCAATGGGGTCAAGAATATGCCAAGAGGAAGGAGACACCAAGATGAGCACACTAAAGTTCAAAATGCCGCAAATTATAAATTTTTAAAAAATAATAAATAAATAAATAAATAAATAAGTAGATGAGGAGGTGAAGAGAAATTAAGTGTTGTTTTTTTTTTTTAATTTTGGCAGTATTTTGTTACCCCCATGGGGTCGAAGTGTGCTGTCACGAAGAAAGACTAAGTAAAATCAGGAAATTTTGCCAACACTTTGCTACCCCCAAGGGGTTAAAATGTGCTGAAAAAACTAAATAAAGGGAAGAAAAAAAAAATTCGGCAGCGCCTCATTACCCCCACAAGATCAAAATGTGTGCCGAAAACAAAAATAACTAACTCCTAATCAGATTTGAGGGTGCCGCAAAGAAATTCAAATTTTCAGAATAAATAAATAAATAAAATAAAATAAATCAGAGAATGAGAAAAGGAGGTGGGGAATAAGATAATTTGATTTTTTTAAAAAATGAGGAAATATAAATAAAAAAGAAAGATAAAAAGAAAAGTAACAGAAAAATTCGAAGTTGGGGCGAAAGAAGATGAAAGAAGTGAAGAAGGAAGAGAGAAATAGGTGAAAAAGAGAAAAAGATTGCAGTGGGAGGTGAGGGGATGATGGGGTTGTAGTTGAGGGGGAGGAGGGTGAGAGAATGGGAGAGAAAGGGATGGGAAAGGTGGAAAGGAGGATAAGAGATTAGTAGAAGATGATGAGTTGAGAGAGGAGGAGAGAAAAAAGATGGAAGAAGAGTGAATGTTGAAGAATGTGGGAGAAGAGTGGGAGTGTAGGGGGGAGAAGGGGAAAAAAAAAAAAAAAAAAAAAAAAAAAGTGAAGTAGGATGAGAGAGTAGTGGTAGAGTTAGAAAAGATGATTAGATGATGGAGGGGAGGGAGAAAAAAGGGGTTTTCAACTGCTGCAAAAGCTGCCAGCAAGGCCTGAAGATCTGATCAAATGGATCAGATCTGTTGTAGAGCAGCCCCCTACCCAAGGGGGTCTTCACACAATGCCACGTGGCACTTTT